TTCCATACTTTAGACCCGTACTGTATACATTATTATCCACCACCCACCCTTCCCATTTAAAAATTTGAAGGGGATGTTTACCCCGCTCAGGGGGTAGCAGTTAGAACCATCTAATTCATGCAAAAAGATGCCCCCCTCGCAAACAAAATCGACGGGTTTTTGCGTTTTTCCAAAAAAATTTTCCTAGCCGCTACGGGCTCTGTTACGTTTTCGTTGGGCCACCCTGTATTAATATATCCCTTATAGTTGTGTTGTGAAGCAGTATCAGGATTATATGAGGAATTATGATTAACATTGTGAATAAAATGCAAGTGACTGGATTTATTTCCAAACAAAATCGTAAATATTTTTAGTATCGCATACAATATAGTTACTTGTTTATTTAACACTAATTTTACCCTACCAATTAATTTTTGAATTATAGTCCACAGCATCACAAAACATTACAGCCTACCAGCTCCCACCCCTGCTTGCAAGAAAATGTATTAATTTCAAATCGTAATATATCAACTGGAACAGTGTATTATTATAGAGGATAGCTGGTATTATATTGTACAGCTAAATGTGGTCGGTTTTCATATAGTAAACATTCTATTGAAGTTATTTATTAGTAAAGTATCTTATCCTGAAAATTACCACCTAAACACAAATTAGATTTTAAGTGCAGTGATAATGAATTGTTATCCATTTATTGTTAAGTGGTGTTACAAATTAAGCATTGATAATATAACATATTTTCTACATTAATAACAATTTTCGAATAAACCACTACAAATGTGATTAAGCTCTTGGAATTTGTTTTTATAAGAGTCACATTTTTTGCACATGATGAGTACTGCAGACAATGATATGAATTAATTTTAAGTGGATACTAACAACGAAATTTTTACTTTTGTTCAATGCAAATATGTAGACTTATAGGTGATGGCTTAAATGTACTTGTGGTTCAGCAAATACTCGATGTCTCGTTCACTCATGAACTACGTAGTTTGACATTGTGGTTTGTTAAGGCGGGTATCCACTTGTGGCAATGCTCCGTAACGTAACAACGAACATTTTTACGGTCTGTTGCAAAAAGTGACACGGTTCGCTGCGAAAGTATGTGTGGTTTTGGTCGTATCATTCATTCCGTAACGTAACAAAATAAGGTTACGAGATGACATAGGAACATAAACTCGCAGTATGAACCTGATTGCAATAATGGATTCGTCACTGCAATTGCAGTTAGCAGCAGCGTCATATATTTTTATTCATCATACAATTTTGAGGAATAAGAAACGGAAATCTCCGGAAATCTTTTCTTTACTCCACTCCATAGCACAAACACAGAAAAACATACTCTTCCTAGTTACTGCAGAAAACAGACTAACCCCAGACCATATAAAAAAGACTGACGAAACAAAAAATAAGACAAAAACACACGTGCAATAGGCAACGGTACGGCCAAAAGGGTAACCCCGTCTCAACATGTAGTAGAAAGTACTGTTGAAATCCTTTGATGCGACGACTAAAAACCGACAACTGATGGTTCGTCCCGGATTAGTTACGCGTGTCAAATTTGTTACACGTACCATGCAACAATTTTCCGTCTCCACTAGTTGTAACGTAACATGTTCGGTGTCACGTTACGGGGCATTTGACACAAATGGATACCCGCCTTTATGATTTGCAATTTTATGGTGATACTACACTCACGTTTACGTGTAACGTCCATTATCGCGATAATTACTGCGTAAAAATTAATGGATTAAATTACGTGGTAAAATGAATGGCTACACTTGCATTTGATGTCTGCTCAACAAATTACGCGTTATTTGATAAAATAATTTCACTATGGAGGTTGAGGCCGCTTTACAAGTGTACCTATTATGAGAGCGTCAATTATGTATTATTATGAATATATTATAAATATGATAATTGGACGCTCGCAAAATTCATCGCCAAGCGTTATTTTGGGCGCCACAATTTTTATGTTTTTTTTCTAGAATCCCATAAACATGGTTCCATTTGAAATACTTCTAGAAACTCTATTGTTTTTTCGTTAGACCACTCCATTTTTATGCAACCATATTAAACCATGCTCGAAGCTCTAATGCATTGCAATAGACAATGCTAGTAGTTCAAGCGTTATAGAGAAGTGCTTACAGAAATTATTACTTGGAAAAAATATGACCGTATAGGAAATTAAATTTTAAATTAAGTTTCATGTTCTTTAAACTCGATCCAAAATGGCGAACACGGCTAAAAAAATAGCAAAATTACAAAAACGGTTTTTCTAAAATAACTAAAAAATTATAGCACCGATCGAAAAATTTTAAATGAGAAAGTTGTAGGCTTTAAAAAGATATATCGACTGATTTTTTTTAAGTATCGATTGTTTTGTTACTTTTCAAGACATCGAAAAAATCTTTAAAAATCTTCTCTTTTCTCTTCTTCCATAACTCGTTTACATTTACGTTCCCATACTTGCTATTTACTGCAAACATAGCCCGCGGCAAGCCAAAAAAGTGTATTTTTGGAAAATTTAAAAATATTAATTATTTTTCTAGATATATTGATTTTTTTAAAAAAGATTTGGAAAATTGGCTAGATCTCAGCGGATGGTCCTACAGTAACGATTTTTGGTTAATTTTCTTCACAAAGAGTTGTATTACTATGCTGTTATAAAATTGATGATTTTATTAATTTTAAGGATCAAACAATGACATATTTTTTTTAAAAAACTATTTCAATTTTTATTTTATGAAAATGGCTTTTAAAGAAAGAAGTTGCCGACATTTTTTCACTAATTTAAAACACAAAAATGTTTTTCTATGACCTTCTGGAGCCGAGAAAACTTTTTTATTTAAACTTTTTTCAAAGTTATTTTTTATTCTTTAAATTAATAAAAATTTTACAACAGCATGGCACTACAACTCTTTACGAAGAAAATAAACCGAAAATCGTTACTGTAGAGCAGCGATATTCAAACTGTGTTCCGCGAAACTCTGGGGTTCCGCACAACCTCTCTGTGGATTCCGCGACTGTCAAAAATTTAAAATTTTATTATCGATAATTACAAAATGCAAAAAAATATATATACTTAAAACTTTTTATTTTTATAAGTACACGCGTGTATGTTACTATAAGAGCTTTATCTATTTATGCAATTGCTGATCAGGCAATAAATGTATTAATGCCTTTTGTAACTACGTACCTGTGCGAAAAATAATTTTCCACATACGTAGCGACAAAAACAAAGTATTGCAATGCGCTTAATGCAGAATTTAAAATGCGATTGCAACTTACGACAGTAGCACCTGATTTTAACATATTATGTAAAAATATTCAAGCACTGGGATGCGCTTGAATATTTTTGATTATATTTACTCTTTTTTTTTAATTACTCAATAAATATTTACTTTTACTTTAAAGTCTTCCTTAAATTTTTACTTAGTGGAATATTTATTTTGTTAATCGTAGTACATATTTATAAATATATTAATAATCAGTAAAAAATGTGTTCGAAAATTTTTTTTAGGTGTAGGGTTCCTCAAAAAAATGGAAAAGTTAGCGGGGTTCCGCACGTCGTAAAAATTTGAAGACCGCTGCTGTAGAGCGATCCGCTGAGTTATAGAAGAAGAGAAGATTTTTTAACGGTTTCTTCGACATATCTCGAAAAGTATCAAAGCAATCGATACTTAGAAACAATCAGTCGATAGTTTTTAAAACCTACAACTTTAAAGTTTTTGATCAGTGCCATATTTTTTTAGTTAGTTTAGAAATACCGTTTTTTGTAACTTTGTGATTTTGTTCATGAGATATAAGTTCGAAAAACAAATGAAAAACGGGTTTGCCGCGACTCTTTATCCTTTTTTTTAATTTTCGGTTATACAATTTCTTTGCGATGATTTTAACCCTTAGAAAAGTTTCATTTATTGCAAAGTTTTCAAATACCACTTTTTAACACTACACATAAGGGCTATGAGCCGCTTATGATACACTGAATTCAAGGAGTCCATAACTTATAATTTGTGATTCCGATAAGAATTTCTAATGCTAATAAAGAGCAGAAAGACATTTTTTTAAATAAATTATAAAAAAAATATTTTTAATGATATTGTCAATACTCTCAAATGAAAACTTTATCAAACTAATAATTAAACTAACAAGTTATTACAACTAGAAATAAGTAAATATTCCTATGTTATTACTAAACGTTCTCTAATGATAATAAAATTACATTCCTCCTTCAATGACGCACATGTTTTGAAATATAATATCTACTTTGTGCCGTTTGTTAGTCGCCATGAGGATTATATATTTAATTTAACACTATTAATTTCTTCAGTATAAACAATATCCTTCATATCAGAAAAAGAGATTCATTGGATTTAAATTTGGAAATCGAGTGGTCAATGATTTAACACATTTTAGATTCATCCATTCCAGCGGTTTGGAAATAATTTAATTTTTAAGTACTCTCGCAAATAAAATTAAATATTTCCAAATCATCCATGTATCGGACGAAGCCAAAAATGCTCTTGTTCAGTGGCCGCCACGGTCCCCAGATTTGAATCCAATGAATTTCCTTTTCTCAGATAGAATGAAGAATATTGTTTATGGTGATGAAATTAAAATTTTCTCTAACAGAAAGAGTTCGCAAATTAGTTTCGTCAGTAAATTTGCCAACGGATAAAGACCGCTATTTGTTTTGTAATAAAACCAACAAACATGTTGGTAACGTATGTCGTTACACATGTCACTTGTGCATGTATGAACTTAGGTATATCCTTTTATTATTAGAATAAGACTTAAACTAATAATGTAATTACACAATTTCAATTGTAATAATTTGCAGAGAATTAGTAAATGATGTTTGCATTTGAGACTATTCGGAATTTTGTTTAAAATACGTTTTCATAGCTTGTTTAAAATATGTGTATGATTCTGCCCGCTTTATTGGTATAATTCTTACTGATTTTTTTAAAGTCACAAATTACGAGTTACATTCTCCTTAAATTCAGTGCGCCCTATATTTGTTTTTAGAAGTGCATAAATATCCATGAACTCATAACGAGAGCAACGAATTAGATAACATTCGTGTTAAATTTGAGGATATTCAGGCCGAGTATGTATCCCACTTTATCATAATAACAGTTACGTTATTTGAGGGTTAAACGTTAACTGTTAAGATATTGAGCAATTAAGACCATTTTTAGCAAATACTCTTATTGCAATTGTGTTGTTTTTTGAAGACGCTTTTGTGTCAACATTTTTAATAATAATTATGCAAAATTATTATAAACAAGAGTCAGTATTAGACAAAAACACATATAACTAACAGAGGTCTTTTAGGTTATGAAACATGAAACAAATGCAAATTCGTAAATAACGGGTAAGTACGACATAATAGTATATTATTTAACGAGCGGTAATGCAGGTCATAACTCACGCAGATGAAGTTTGCAGCACGAGCCGCAGGCGAGTGCTGTAATTCATCAAGTGAGTTATGACCATTACCGCAAGTTGAATACTATACTTTATCTACGACTACATTTTCTGTAAACGAGTTAACGTTTTTATTGCTACACCAATCTTGAAAATTTTTATATACACCTTTATACTTGTTTTTTGATTTTTCTGGTAATAAATTCTGTATTGCATTATTAGCTACTTCTCTTACTTCTGGAGGTGTATACTCATCTTCGCTATCTAAATTCATCTTTTTTAGGACTATTATTAGAAATTGATTTGAAAACGTCAACATTATTTTGTTAAAATATCAAATGACATTAGTCCCCTCAATGATAATAATTGACAGTTCCGTCTACTGAGAGGCGTTGGCAATTTAATAATTTTAAAATCTTTTAATTATTCATTCCTTTCCACTTGTTAAAAATTCTTTCCATTTTACACCAATGGAAGGTATTTATCGGCTTAAAAATTTCCAAGAATTTTCTGCGTACACTATTTACATACCGAATTATCATTGTAGAAGCCCAGCGTGAGTTATAATAACTCACTATAAAAACTCACGCTACTTGTTTATTGATACTATTAATTGCTCAGAAGCAGTTGAATAATTAATATATAAATTAATAGGAGTAGATAAAATAGTTTGTAACACGTTATCTTAAATTATAACAGAATTTCTTAAAGTCAAGGAATTTGGTGTCGCTATAGTTTAACGTACGTGTTATTTGTCTAATGAAAATGAACGGCTTGTTAAATTTATATTTACTTGCCGGTTTTATAAACGCACATCGAAGGTAAGTTGTAAAATTTAAGTAACTTAGGTAAGTATTTACCCTAAAATTATTGTTAGGTAAAATCAAACGAAAAAGGATCTAACAAGTAAACTACCCCAACCCGAACTCTCTGATTTCCAATATTTTTATATATGTTGTAGACTCGGTTGTAGAACATAAAAAATTAAATGATACATATTTTTTTTATCGGCGGTAAAACATATTTAGGGGGTGAAATACATCCTCAAAGTTCGCCATCCAAAACAGTTTTTTCTAAATATCTGGGGTTCTAATCAATATTTTGGAATGAAAAAAATAAAAAATGGAAATTGCTTCTTATAAAAATACAAATAGTTCACATTAGATTCCGTGTTTGGAGGTTGCTACCCTTATTTTTTATTTCAGAAAAAATATATTTTTTAAACATTTTTTATATATAAAAATTCATATTTGTTAAAAAAAAATAAAAAATATGATATATGTAAACAAATTGACAAAATTAAGTTCTCTTTTAAGTTCTAGTGTGCTAAAAATGTCTGTACGATTAGAATTAACATTTCAAAATAAAAAGTTTTTACTTTTTCTCTAATCATACGAATAATTTGTTCTATTAGCCGCAAACATATTTAAACGGATGCAAACTACCCCTTATGTTCACCCCCAAAAACAGTATTTCTGACACATCTCAATATTTTGAAATGAAATAAAATGGAAATTACTTCTTTAAAAAAATAAAATGTTCCACAAGTGATTCCGTGTTTGGGGGTTGCAACCCTTATTTTTTATTTCAGGAAAACTAAGTATATTTTCAAAAATTTTTTATATATAAAAAATTCATATTGATTCAAAAAATTAAAAATATGATTTATGTAAACCAAATTGACAAAAATGATTTCTCATTTTAGGGGCCGATCAACACCCTAATAACCCCCTAGTGTGCGAAAAATGTCTTTACTTTTTCTCTAATCATACGAATCATTTTCTCTCTTGGTCTAAAACGGATTTAAACGGATGCAAACTACCCCTGATGTTCACCCTCAAAAACAGTATTTCCATGATATCTCGGGTTCTAATAAATATTTTGGAATGAAACAAAATGGAAATTACTTCTTATAAAGAACAGATGTTTCACAAAAAAAGAATTAAAAAGTATATTATCTGATATTCTCTAGAAATTAAAATTAGGAATGTGAGTATATTATACACGAGAAAAAAAGAGAAATAAATAATTAATTCAAGTAAAAAAATAAAACCAACCATTAATCGATACCATTAACTACATTCATTTTAAAAGAAGTTTGCAGCCCTTTACATTATGTTCTGTACATTTTGATACAAAACTTCTGTTTATACTGATTTAAGGAGGATTATTAAAATTTAACAGAAATATTTATTAAGAATCCAAAAATAAAAAGAATATTGGTGGTTCGAATTTTAAACTTTTAAGCACGAATGCTGCCAACTCCTCGGAATGAAATTGACGTACAATCCTGCGTCACTTTTGAGACACCCTTTATAAATTTTCCTAACATCTAGCGTTATACTACTGCGTAATACTTGCATTGCATAATAAACTGTAAAAATTAAAAATTCCTATCTACATATTGAACTATGGAAATAACCATAGTGATTTAGCGCTACTAAATTTAGCATTGTAAAATCGTATTACTTTTGCTGTTAGGAGATTCTCTTAAGATATATTTTCTTTATCTTATCATCATTGACATAAGAGTATAAAAGTAAAGTATCTCGAGAAACGTACTTATTATTATGTTTCTAGTTTATTAAATCTATATTTTGGAATTAGGTATGTACAAAGTTTGTGGTTTAATGAATAAAACATCAATTTAATTTTAAAATACTTTTATTACGTTAAACCTATTAATAAAGCTATTAGATCTATTAACACACACCAGTGGCGTATCCGTGTCATGTCAGTTCGATATCAATATCAGTTGCTTAGGGTTTAAATGACAGTGACGTATTTTACTATTAGTGCAGCGTCAGTTTCTATTCCGTGGTTTTTTAATACGTTGGCAATCATATTTTTTTAATTGTCACTGAATTGTTGCGATCAATTTTTTCTTGTGTTATATGTTGCTAAGAATGAACGAAGATCTTTTCGAATCGGTAAGTAGTCCAGACAGTATGTGTTTTAAAAGTAGGTTATATGGATGTTTCATATAGTAACACTAATTTTTGTTGGAAATAGTTGTAAATACGTATTATGTAAAATGATAATTGCGATATACGCCAGCTGAAAAAGTTGTTCATAATTGTTAGTGCAAGAAAATGGAAAACAAAAAAAAAGGCGCATTTTCCCCTTCTTTCATTTATAACTCGGAGTATGTATAAGTTCGTGAAGAAAGATGTTTTTTTCATGAATTTATTTCGGACCTTGACTTTAGAGCAGCCATATAAAAAGTATGGTTCTGAGTACTTCATAATATGGTAGTATTGCATAAATTTGTTCATCGAAATCGGCCTGGTAGATTTCGCACAATTCAATTGTTAATTAAGAAAATACAAAACAAAATTATACTTACTTATTTTTCAATTCTCTCTCACGGTAAAACAGATAATTATTTTGAGTTCCCAATTTTTATACCTACATACCCTTTGGAGTCTCAACTATCAATCACCATTTAAAAATTTTCGATTTTATTCATTTCAGCAAGAATTGAAATATTTTCAAAATTTCTTAGAAAAAATACTTATAAACATTTAGAGCTGGAGCTACCGTATTGACATATTCTTCAAATGTAATTATGGGATCAAATGAAGGAAGGATTGACGAACAAAATCCACCTTTGATCTTGTGGATACGATAAATCGTCATTGAAATCTAAAAGCGCAAAGTAGAAGTGAGTTTACGGCAAAACAACGTAGGTGCTGTACAATAAGCAAAGACTTTATAACTATGAAAATTTGTTTAAATCGGAAATATATTTTGAGTGTTCTGCAAAAAAGATTTTTACATTTCACAGGAATCGAGCAGTGTCAAAGAGTGTGGAGTTGGCGGACTATGCGAGCGAAGCAGCATAAGTCACTCGCTCAACTTCAATCGACTTTTTCTCAGCTTCTATAACATATAAATAAATGATTTTAATCGAAACAGGAAAGCAAGATCTATTCGAACTTTACAATGTCGATTCAAAAAAGTCTTTCAATTTAAATTTATATGCAACATAAAGAACAATAAAGTAGATAATACAGGGTCGGAAAGTTCCCACGGTTCATCGGCCGTTACGTGAGAGCGATAAAGTAAGTCATATAAATCCGTGCGATAGAGAAAGATGGCTATAATGAAGGCGTCTTAATAGTCACCGCCCATTTCGCCCTTCCACAAATAGGAAGTGGATCGTATTTGTGGAAGGGCGAAATGGGCGGTGACTATTAGACGCCTTTATAATAGCCATCTTTCTCTATCGCACGGATTTCTATGACTTTCTTTATCGCTCTCACGTAACGGCCGATGAACCATGGGGACTTTCCGACCCTGTATACGGTATAATGTATAGAAAGTCCAGCTACGAAAACTTTTAATAATATTTCACAAAAATGGAAATAGACTTGTTAAAATAAAAGGAAATTTAGGTAGGTACTACTTATGGAAAGTAGAAAAATATAATAGCATTTTCTTGCATTATAAAGTCTTATTTACCTTTATATCACGAATATGCTCCTGCAGCAATTTAAATCTCAAGAAGTAACGAACACAAACCACTGTCAAGGTCGTTTTACAGCAGAATAATAGCGACTAGATTCATTATCTGTTGTAGAAACTGACAAAAAATTGATTGAAATTTCGCGAGTGAATTATGCTGCTCCGCTCGCATAGTCCCCCACTCCTCGATCTTTGACTCTGCTATATTCCTGT